CCCAGGCGCTACTCACCAAGGTAGAATGTAGAACATTGTCTTTATAAACTGTGTTATGCCAATTGAGCTAGATGTTCCCTGAGACCATGGTCCCCATAGCCCTCTTCCCAGCAATTCAGTCCCTCAGGAATTTTAGAAGTGTTTATGGAGCTTCCATGACCTTTCCTTGTACAAGTTGTGCTGGCTTCCCCAGTATTGTGTACTGTCTTACCCTTCATCAAAGTTACCACTTGCCTATTTTTCCCAGTCTGTAGGTTCTCTTTTTACTCTTTTGGTAAAGTCTTTTGATGAGCATAAGTGTTTAGTTTTTAGAAGATGCCAGTTATCTAGCTTATCTTCTGGAGCTTGTGTGTTGTTGGTTATGGTTTGTATCCTGTTAATGCCGTGTATTAGGGCTTCTAGCATTGATCCTATTTTTTCTTCTATGAACTTTATAGTTTTTGGCCTTATATTTAGGTCTTTGATACATTTTGAATTAGTTTTTGTATATGGTGTGAGGTATGGGTCCTGTTTCATTTTTTGTTTGCAGATGGACATCCAGTTTTGCCAGCACCATTTGTTAAAAAGACTGTCTTTTCCCCATTTGATGGTCTTTGGGCCCTTGTCGAAGATCAGGTGACCATAGGTGGATAGATTTACATCTGGGTTCTCAATTCTGTTCCACTGGTCAATGTATCTGTCAGTGTACCAGTACCAGGCGGTTTTGACTACTGTAGCTGTATAGGAGGTTCTGAGGTCAGGTAGTTCGAGTCCTTGTACTTTATTCTTCTTCTTCAATAGTGCTTTACTTATCCAGGGCTTCTTACCTTTCCATATAAAGTTAATGATTAGTTTTTCCATCTCTTTAAAGAATGATGTTGGTATTTGGATCTGATTGCATTGTATTTGTAAATTGGTTTGGGTAGAATTGTCATTTTCACAATGTTGAGTCTACCTATCCATGAGTATGGTATGTTTTTCCATTTATGTAGATCCTTTTTGGTTTCTTGCAGTAGTGTTTTGGAGTTTTCTTTGTATAGGTCTTTTACATCCCTGGTTAGATTTATTCCTGAGTATTTTATTTTTTTAGGGGCTATTATAAATGGTATTGTTTTCCTCATTTCCTTTTCATCGTTCTCTTTATTGGTGTATAGGAATCCAACTGATTTTTGTATGTTTATCACAAGATAAACATACAAAAATCCTGCTACACTGCTGAATTTTTCTATTAGTTTCAGTAGTTTTCTCATGGAGTCTTAGGGTTTTCTATGTATAGTATCATATCATCTGCAAAGAGGGACAGTTTAACTTCTTCATTACCAATTTGGATGCCCTTTATTTCTTTTTCTTGTGTTATTGCTCTAGCTAGTTTAAGTCAATCTTTTTTGAGATATAAAAGAGAGAAGCAACCGGAGAGACACAGGGACCTCATACCCCCAAGAAACAAGAGCCAGGGTCCCTGCGCAGAGAAGCTCCTTGACCAGGGAAAATTAACGATAAGGACCTTCCCCCAAGCTGACAGAGAAAGAAAGCCTTCCCCTGGAGCTAATGCCCTGAACTTGGACTTCTAGCCTATAACTGAGACAATAAACTTCTGTTTATGGAAGCCATCCAGTTGTGGTATTTCTGTTATAGCAACACTAGATAACTAAGACAGTCTTCCTTATTCATTTTCCAGCTTTCATATGCATATGAAGTAGTTGAAAATACCATGGCTCAGGTCAGGCATACCTTAGTCTTCAAGGTAAAACATATTTGTTTTTTAATGCTTTAAAGAGGTCTTTTACAGCAAATTTGCCCAGTGCAATATGTTGTTTGATTTCTTGACTGCTGGATCCATGGGCATTGATTGTGGATCCAAGTAAAATGAAATCCTTGACAACGTCAATATTTTCTGCTTATCATGATGTTGATTATTGGTCTGGTTGTGAAGATTTTTGTTTTCTTTATGATGAGGTGTAATTCATATTGAAGGCTGTAGTCTTTGATCTTCATCAGTAAGTGTTTCAAGTCCACTTTACTTCCAGCAAGCAAGGTTGTGTCATCTGTGTATTGCAGGTTGTTAATGAGTCTTCCGCCAATTAAATGGCACTTTCTTCTTCATATAGTCCAGTTTCTCGGATTATTGCTCAGCATACAGATTGAATAAGTATGGTAAAAGGATACAACCCTGACACGCACCTTTCCTGACTTGAAACCACACAATATCCCCTTGTTTTGTTCAAATGATTGCCTATGCACAGGTTCCTCATGAGCACAATTAAGTGGTCTGGAATTTCCACTGTTTGCAATGTTATCCATAATTTGTTATGATCCACACAGTCAAATGCCTTTGCATAGACAAAACTAACCTATAGTGACAGAAAACAGATCAATGGTTGCTTGAGGAATGGGGGAGGGGGTGTGGGCTTGGGAGAGACAAATTACAAAGGGGTCAGATGAAACTTTTGGGGGTTGAAGGAGGGACCATGACGTGCAACAATATGTAGGTCATGGCAGAATGGGAGGAGCAGAAACCAGATGGCAGTGGGTTCAGGAGTGACTGGGAAGAACGTGGAGCTAGTGAGTCCATATAACTCTTTTAGGGAAGCTTACCTGGGCAGGGATAAGAAAGATACAGTGGTATTATGTAGTGCTCTAGTTTATAGAATCTCCTTCTGGGAGCTCTTTATGATTCCAGTCATCTTAATCCAATTAGCTCCTTCCCACACACTGTTTCTGCTCCTAGAGTGTCATTCATCTCCAGTCATAATCTGGGGTTCAGTCATTCCTTTTTCTGCATTTCACACATTCTCAATAAGTATATTTAATATATTTTGTTCCTTCTAACAACTCCCATGGAGTTGGTGCAAATGGTTAACAAGTTAGGCTGTTAACCAAAAATTTGGAGGTTCGAGTCCACCCAGAGGCACCTTGGAAGAAAAGCCTGGTGATCTACTTCAGAAAAATCAGCCACTGAAAACCCTACGGAGTACAGTTTTACTTTGACACATGGTGTTGCCATGAGTTGGAAAAGACTAGAAGGGCAACTGGTTTTTAACATCTCCCACCTTTCTAACATCTCCCAACCTGCATTTTCCAGAGCAATTGCTATGTTTCTTAACTATACTTCTCTAAGCTAAGTTCTCCCATCTCGTGATTCGTATCGTATTTATTACTTGTATCATATTATATGACATGTTAAATGAAATTTCACCAAGGTTGAGAGACACAATAGTGTGGTGGTTAAGTGCATGGGCACTGACATCAGACTGTGGATTTGCTTAAGCGTTCAGCTGCTAATCAAAAGGTTGGCAGTTTGAATCCACCAGATGCTCCTTGGAAACCCTGGGTCAGTTCTACTCTGTCCTATAGGGTTGTTATGAGTCGCAATCAACTCGATGGCAACGGGGCAATGAGTTTTTGACACCTACTGGCTCTGGGACCTTAGTCAAGTCACTTAACCTCTCTGTGCCTCAGTTTCCCCAGCTATAAAATGGAGATATAATAGTGGTATCTCTTGTTATGAAGATTACCCCAATACCGACGAGTCAATTTCAACTCATAGCGACCCTATAGGACGGAGTAGAACTCCCCCATAGGGTTTCCAAGGAGGGCCTGGTGGATTCCAACTACAGACCTTTTGGTTGGCAGCCTGAACTCTTAACCCCTACGCCACCAGGGCTACCCCTAACCCCGAAAAAAAACAAACCTGTTGCCGTCGAGTCGATTTAGGACTCATAGTTACTCTATAGGACAGAGTAGAGCTGCCCCATACAGAGTTTCCAAGGAGCGCATGGGGGATTTGAACTGGCGACCTTTTGGTTAGCAGTCTTAACCGCTACGCCACCAGGGTTTTCCCCTAACCCCAAGGAGCTAGCAATTTCGTGCTGGCTAGATAGAACTTTTCGTAGATATCTTCTGTGCGCCCTAGTCCAAGAGGCTTCTGCACTTGGGCAGCCTTGGAATGAGGAACGAAGGCCCAGGAGGTCGATTCTCAGTGGCCACCTTTCATAACCCGATTGAAAGGCGAAAGAATGGTGATAGTAGAATTCGCGAAGACAAAGGGAGAAGCCATTCGGGGAATGGAGATGTTGGCCCTTTCCCAGGTTTTGGACCATTTACTTTTCAGCCGATGAATGGCGACACCAATGGTACCCCACTGGCGCGCCTCTGAAGGCACCTGAAGTCCACTCAGGCCCTACAGCCACGCCCCAGGCCCGGACCACCGAGCGGCCCTGCCTCTCACAACACACTGAGCTGCGACCGGGTCCCGCATCCCTCACTGCTACAAGCCACGGGCCCGCCGCGGCCCCGCCCCGATCCCGCCCCCAGCAGTGCCCAGAGCCCCGCCCCGCCTCTTCCTCAGCCCCGCCCCTCCACCCCAGTCCCGCCTCGCCTACCCTTATCCCCTCCTGGCACCGCCCCCAACAGTGCCCAGAGCCCCGCCCCACCTACACTCAGCCACTGTTGGCCCCGCCCCGACAGTGCCCGGAGGCCCGCCTCCGCCTCGCCTCACCCGGATTCTTGTCGCAGCAGCCGCCGCGGTCACAGCCACCCGGCGCGGTGACCGGGCCTCCGGGAGGCGGGCGCCATGACGGCGGAGACCCTGGCGGCAGAGGCCGTGGCCTCGCGTCTGGCGCGGCAGGAGGAGGACATCCGCTGGCTGTGGGCGGAGGTGCAGCGCCTGAGGGACGAGCAGCTGGACGCGCCCCAGCGGTGCCCGGGAGAGGGGCCGTGCCTCACACGGGAGGTGGCGCAGCTCCGGGCCGAGAACCGCGACCTGCGCCACCGCCTGTACCGCCTGCGGCTGTGCCTGGCCGAGGAGCTGAACCGCCAGGCGAAGGTGGAGAGCGCTGTCTCTCCTGCGGCGCTGAAGCGCGGGCGGGCGCGCCGGGGGTGGCTGGGGCTCGGGTGGGAACCTCTGGCCGTGCGCCTTCTGGCGCCCCTGACTGAGCCGCGGACCGCGCAAGCTTGCTTCCCTTTCGCTAACGATGGAATGGCCCACAGATAGCGGTTTTCGATTCTGGGAGGGCAGATGCGGCGTGCAGGAGGCGCCTGCAGCGTGTGCCCACTGAACCCTGCCCTGCCCCACCCAATGCCTGCAGGATGCGCTCCGCAAGGAGCACCCAGCCCTGCCCCGTGCCTCGCAGGTGTGCCTGCCCTGTGCTCCTGCTGCAGCCTGGGGAGCCAGTGAGTGCCCATGACACCCTGGAACCGCTGTGTTTCCAGCGATTGCCAGATTGGCCTACTGATGTAATTTCTCAGCTCTTCCATTACGATGCCTGCCACAACTTTTGCTCAGTAGCAGAAACAGCATGCTCATTTGAAAAAATGAAACTCATTATTCAAGAAATTGGATTATCTTTGCCTGGGTAGGAAGGCCAACAGCTACATAGATAAGTCGTTCCATTCCCTCTAATGCTTGGTTCTCAGCTATTTAGGAGAGGTGGTTTTTGTTTTGTTTGCTTGTTTTGGCGGCCTATATTGAGAATTGAGAGGACATCTGTTATGTTTAACATTATTATTTAATACAGTATCTTAACATTTTAGTTCATTAAAGGACAAATCATCTTCCTATAACATAATAAACTTTCTAAGTCTGAAGTCTTTCTCAGCCTGCAGGATGTTTTTCAGTTCTTTCTCAAATGTCACTGTGGTGCCTTAGCAACAAGTTTATGAAATAGTGCGTTTAAAGTCCCTGATGGCAGGTCACATTTTCCAGTGACATTATTTGCTTAAAGTTTAGAGGAAAAACTTTAAAGGACAAAACAGGTTAAATGTACTTAGCAAGAATGTGTGAAATGTAAAGACAGGAAGGACTGAACCCCGACAGGACTAACCCGTCAAGGGTCCTTAAGTGACAATCAGGAGAGCCAGCAGTGAGCCTCTCAACTTGGGGAACTGCTGCCCGTTGGCAGTGGCTCCCTCCCTCCTCAGGTTTCAGATGTGTTCCTCTCTCTTGTCATTGGTATAAGTTGTTTATAATTTACCTTTCTCTCTCAGCTTTCTAATAGTCAAAGCCGAGAAAAGGATGCTAAAAAAGAGAGGGAAAGTGGGCCTGATAGTGAGGTGAGTCATTGCTACGGGAATAATGTAAAATACTACCAGTAATTGTAAACATGCTCATGAGGTTAGTTACCCAGGATTTTTAATAAAAATATAATTAGTAATTAAATTACTACTTGGGCCACAGTATATTTAAAACTTTGCAAAACTTAGGTTCAAAGTGTCTTGTCTTAGAGATGAGCTAGCCACGCAGCTATATTTAAAGTGCCCCTTAGTCTATTTAGGATGAGATGATAGAGCCTTTCCTTCTTTTGTGTTTAGAAACTAGCTACTTTGCTTTTTTTTTTGAAATATAAACCATTTAAGCAACCAGAAGGTATTTATTGAGCATCAACATTGTGGTAGGAACAAAGGAGGAATACCTGGCTTTAAAGGAATCCATCTGGTTAAGGAGTTAAGAAAACCACAGCAGAAAACAACTAGAGAACAAGATAGGTGGTATATAACTAAGTGCTGAACTGTGTGACCCTATGTACACGTGTGGAGTCCCTTCGTGGCACAAACAGTTAATGTGCTCAGCTGCTAACTGTAAGGTTGGCAGTCGAGTCCACCCAGAGGTGCCTCAGAAGAAAGGCCTGGTGATCTATTTCCAAAAAACCTATGGAGCACAGTTCTACTCTGACACACATGGGGGTTGCCATGAGTTGGAATCTACTCAATGGCAACCAAAAAAAAAAAAAAAAGTACACGTGCTGGAAACGTGAGAAAGGCCGACGCCAGTAGGATGTAGCAGTCAGAAGAGGTGGTTTTTGAGGTGGGCCCTGAGCATGAAGAAGGAAGTAGATGAGCGAAGAGGAGTCTTCAGGCGGTCAGTAGAGTAGCAGAGACTGAACAATGGGAATGACCTGTGGCAGCTAGGACGGCAGTGAGGGGTGAAACTGATGTAGAGCTAAGCAGTGAGAAAGAAGTGGCCTGTGTACGTTAACAGCTGTGTTCTGATGTTTCAGGTGAGAAAGCAACCAGATTTCATCAAAGAAAGATTGAAGCTGTTTGAAGTATTGAATAAAGATCATCAGCTCTTACTTGGCATTTGTGAAAAAGAGAATACAAGCAACACGATCACAGTAAGAGTGGCTGATGGGAAAACAGTCGAAGGGCAAGTTTGGAAAACAACCCCTTATCAAGTGGCTGCTGAGATTAGGTAAACCATAGTTTGGAGAAGATATTCAGTATTAAGTACCTGCACCAGAGCCTGGTGAAAATGTTTTCTTAGGGACTGCTAAAATATTTTTTTTCTTATTCAATTGAATAAATTAAATATAATTAATTACTTTTTGTCTTCTGGCTTCTAAAGAGGCCATTTAAATAAGTAATTAAATATCAAAAGACAATCTCTGTCTTTAAAAGGTCCACATTTTAAAGTTCTAGTAAAAATACATAGTAGAGAAAAAAAAATCTATGATACTTGACAAGCCACATTACACTGACTTCATTCTTCAATCAAATAATTTTAGTGAGTTTTAAATGTCTTTTGTTGGACTCGGGGTCAGGAAACAACTCCAAATCATTGCTCCATTAGTAACTAACCATGGGCATTCTGTGAACCAACTCAGGCAGTCCCAAAAGCTTTCCAACCCTCCTTTCTTACATCTTCAGTGGGACTAATAATAGTTTTCCCATTTACCTCATGAGGTTGTAAAGATTAAATGAAATACTCTATGTAAAAAAAATTCTGAAAAATAAAATGATTCTAGAAATGTAGAAAAGTACTTACTCATTACAGATTGAAGGTGTATGTGTTACAGCTATTACCAACCCTGAAATAAGTACTTTGGCCTTCTGGGAAATTAGGAACATTAGTGAAGTTATTTTGTTTTGACTATTGTTAATTCCTAGCATTAAATACAATTATAAGGAAGCTATAACTCAAAACTGCCATGTAAATAAACTTAGTATATAAAAAGCACAATGCTTTTCATTGTATGCCTAGTGATATGGGTTTCCACAGAATACCACTTTAAAAACTCTACCCTCAAGTTTAATGACAGAGGGGTTGTAGGAATATCTAAAAGTAAAATTGTCCAAAACTAAAAGAATGGGCAGTATGAGGCAAACCAGATGAGAGAAAAGCAGTGGTTGTGATACTACTATCGGGCAGCAGACTTCAGGACAGATATCATTGAATCAGATAATGAAGCTTATTTAAAAAATTGCTGAACAGTAAAATTGCCACGAACTTTTATGATGGTTTGCCACAAACTTTTATGTGTTGAATAATGTAGCATCAGATCAGAAATACAAGGAGAAAATTACAGAAACCAAAGAGTAGTGGACTTTAACATACCTTTCTCAGTTTTTGACAGATCAAATAGGCAAAAATTAAATAAGGTTATACATGTCTGAATAATAACAGGTGGACTTAGCAGCAGTTACTGATCTCTGTACACTTGTGGTCATGGTTTAGGCTCCCCAGAATTTTGGTAAAATGTAGAAAGGATATAGTTCACATTCCGTGACTGAAATGAAATCAATTACAAACTCAGTAACCAGATTAAATGACAACAAAACAAACAAGCCTTGGATATTCAAACAAACAAAAAAACACTTTTCTAGACAACTCAGATAAAAGGAAAGAAAAGCAAGTACAAAATTCTTAGGAAGTACTTATAATGAGGAGAGTATATATCAAAACCTATGGAACACATCCAATCTGATGGTAATCAGAAGCAAATTTGTAGTGTTGAAAGCTTTCATTATTGACTAAGAAAGAATAAAAATAGACTAAGAATCCAACGTGGGCAGCTAGAAAAAGAAGATTTAAACAAAAGGAAAGCCCTAAAAATGATTTAAAAAATGGATTAGAGAACAGTATTAACGGAAAAACTATAAGAATACATAAGGGTCCAGTGAAATGACTATACACAACATAGTTAAAAAATAATAGCTTTATTATATTATACTGCCCATTCCCTTGGTTAACTGAGAGTTGATTGCATAGGTATTGTTCCTGCTCTTGGGAGGATTGGCCTTTCTAAGCATAACATATAATGTAGAAATCATTAAGGAAAAGATGGACAGGTTTAAACTACACAGAAATACTAAAATAAGTGAGTATGTGTAAACAACAGGTTTAAAAGAGAAGTGATGGATGTGGAAAAAATGCAATATATATATGTTTTTTTGTTGTATGGTATAGAGTCGATTCCGACTCATAGTGACCCTATTTGACAGAATAGAACTGCCCCATGGGGTTTCCTGAGTTGGAATCTTTACAGGAACAGATTTCCAGATCTTTTCTTCTACAGAGTGGCTAACCAAACCAAACTCGTTGCTATTGAGTTGATTCCGACTCATAGTGACCCTCTAGGACAGAGTAGAACTGCCCCTTAGGATTTCCAAGGAGCACCTGGTGGATTTGAACTGCTGACCTTTTAGTTAGTAGCCGAACTCTTAACCACTAAGCCACCAGGGTTTCCACAGAGTGGCTGGTGGGTTTGAACTGCTGACCTTTCGGTTAGCAGCCGAGTGTTCTTTCTGTCTGTCTGTCCAAAATGAATGGGTGCTATCTAAGTGTTTTTTCAAATTAATAGAAAAAAGATGAAAAATTCCACTAAGGAAAAGATAATTTTAGAAATATAAATTAAAATAATTGTTTTAGCTATTAATTTGTCAAAAATTTAGGAGTAATACTTAATATTGATGCAGCTATGGGGAAATGGCACTGCTAGTGGGAAGATGAATAGGTGCAGTCTTTTTGAGACTTGTAAAACCTTAAAAATGTGTAAACCCTAACCTTTGGAACCCAGTAATTCTACACGTAGCTATTTATCCTAAAGAAGACCTCAGTAGAAAAAATGCATAAGGAACAGTTGATGAAAGAAGTATGAATGATAGTGTGTCCGTAAGGCCAGTAGTTCCCAAAGTGTGGTCCCTGGACCAGCAGCATCAGTATCACCTGGGAACTTGTTAGAACAGCAGATTCTTGAGCCCCATCCTACTCCAGAACATCTCAGCAATCTATGTTTTTATGAACCCTCCTGGGGCTTCCAGTACAAGCTAAAGTTTAAGAACCACTGAGCTAGGCTAAACTGCTGCAGTAAATCAGCTAGTTGCCGTCTAGTGGACTGTGACTCCTGGCAACCCCATGTGTACCAGAGTAGAACTGTGCTCTGTAGGCTTTAATGGCTGATTTTTCAGAAGTAGATCATCAGGCCTTTCTTCCGAGGTGCTTCTGGGTGTACTTGAACCTCCAACCTTTCAGTTAGCAGAAGAGCATATTAACTGCTTGCATCACCCAGGGACTTTTGCTCAAATCCAGTGCCTTAAATAAGGTAGACATCAAATTCAGATTCTCTCACAGAACAGTGTAGAGGTGACAGGCTGGTGGACATCTCTGGTCCATGCAGTCGTTTATGGACCCAGGTGCCTCCTGTCTGTTGATCTGTCATCCCCTAGATAGGGCTTGTTCATGTTTACTGTAGAAGCTGAGTTTTGTCCATGGACCTACCTGCAGGTAGGGGGAAGCACAGTGGCATGCTTCAGTTTCACTTACACACCATGAACTCACATCTGGTCGATGGGCCACACCTAGCTGTAAGAGAGAATGAAAATGTAGCTTTAGCCATGTGCTGGCCAGCCATGTGCCCAGTTAAAGCATCCTTACCTTGGTAAAGAGGAAGAATGGTTTAAGGGACAATGGGCAGTCTGCCACAGTCCACCCTCTGGCCATCCAGATATCTGCGAGCACCCTTTTTACACATGCACTGCCTCCCCAAGTGAGACAATTCCAGGTCCCATCAGCTCAAAGCCTCGGGTTTCTGAGTGATAGGAAAAATACCCCATCAGTTGGCTCCTTGCATTCCAGCAACAAATGAGTAGACAAGTCTGCCCACCCCATGTCATATGATGGTGGAATAAACACAAGACAATCACAATTAAAACATTTATTTGGAAAAGAGAACAAGAAATTTAGTAGATAGTGGTATACAGAAGTCATCAAATCCTGCTCGGCAGTGATTGTGAGGCACAGCCTGGCAGTGGTTAGTACTTGGATCAGCCCTTCTGGCCACCGTTAGTTCTCTGGAGCAGCTGTCTTGTCCACAGTCCCTTGGGGGCCCTGATTTTGCTCTTTGTGGGGTTCATAGCTGTCCATCACCCTTGTTTGCCATATCTGAAGTGTGGGTGAGTTTGTCGTCCTTGGGGGCTGTAGGGTTTGCACAGTCCAGTTCTTGCCAGTGCACACTTGGAGGCTGAAGGCTCCATTAAGGATCAAACAATCCCAGGTATTTGTAAGCTGGGCCTGTAGTTTGTTTGGCAGTTCAATTCCCCCAACATTTAACCATAGTAGGCTTCCAGGATGTTGCTTTCTAATCAGTTCCATGTGAAAATAATCTCACTTAAAGAACTCTTCTAGATGGGGATGTCTTACCCTTTTATTTTTTGGCTTTTATACTTGGCTCATTCCTGAGGTCTTATGAAACAGTTTTGTTGAGAGCAGCACTTTTACTCTAATCCCTGTAGTTGGACAAGCCACTGTTGTCTGTTTGTGTTCGTGGCCCTTGAGAAAGGCTATCAGCATCCATCCTCCTGCTATTTGGGACGTAGATTGCTTTTTCCCACCTTGCATGGCCCTACATTTCTGGACTCTTAGTCAGTTGGCATCACAGGCCCCAGGCAGAGGGAGTCTCCCTTGGCAAAGCACTACCGCTTCCATCTCTGCTTGCAAACTGGGCAGTTCTCACTGAGCTCACCTTATTCCTGTCGGAACTTGCTAAAAACAACAAGAATTAGTGTGTACCAGCATTCTGCCTTTTTTTATAACTGCTCCCTCAGGTGCTGCAGCCACCATAAGCATAAGCTCATGGTTTGCCTCAAGTTTGTAATGCCATGACGGGGTTATTGGCTTTCCACACTTTAGTATTGGTTGCTGTGTAACCCACTGCTCATCTGCCAAGTCAATGCCACATGCTTTTGTTACTGACTTCCAGGTCCTTATTTCTGCATTAGTTGAGGTATAGGCTAAGTTTCTGCGACAAAGAGACCACAGAAAACTCAGTGGCTTAAATCTGATGGAAGTCTCTTTTGCAATGAACAGTCTGGAAGTGAGTAGTCCAGACTGGCAGGGCAGCACTTCTCCATACAGTCATCTGGGGCCTAAATTTCTTCCATTTGCTTCATCAATAACAACAATACTTGGCATTTATTAAGTTCTTATCCTGAGTATGGCATAGCATGAAGTGCTTTGCACGAAGTATCTTATTTAATCCTTAAAATGAATATATAAAGAAGGTACTGTTATCCCTATTTTACAAATAAGAAAGCTAAGGTTTAAAGAGGCTGAGTAAATTGTTCCATGTTTAAACCCAGGTTGTCCTGACACTAGAGTAGGTGCTTTCAACCATAGTGATATACTACTGTGTAAGTTAATCACAGAAATGCAAATTAAAACAATATATTATACAATGATACAATTTAATAGTACCTAATATTATGAGGTCCCTGGGTGGCACAAATGGTTTGTGCTCGACCACTAACCTAAAGGTTGACTATTTGAATCCACCTGGTGGCACCATGGAAGAAAGGCCTGGCGATCTGCTCCCTTAAAGATTACAGCCAAGAAAACCCTATGAAACAGTTCTCTGTAACACATGGGGTTACCATGAGTTAGAACTGACTTAACAGCAGTGGGTTTTGTTTGGTGTTTGGATATCATGAGAACCTAGAGAAAAGGTAATCTTGAACACTGCTAGCAGGAAAATTTGGCGATATATTCTGAAACAAATCATTAAAAGTACATTGCTCTGACCCAGAAGTTTTTTTTTTTAAATTAAAAAAATTTTTTTATTATACTTTAGATGAAGATTTACAGAACAAACTAGTTTCTCATTAAACAGTTAGTACACATATTGTTTTATGACATTGGTTAACAACCCCAAACATGTCAACACCCTCCCTTCTCGACCTTGGGTTCCGTATTACCAGCTTTCCTGTCCCCTCCTGCCTTCTTGTCCTTGTCCCTGGGCTGTTGTGCCCCTTTAGTCTTGTTTTGTTTTATGGGCCTGTCTAATCTTTGGCTGAAGGGTGAACCTCGGGAGTGACTTCATTACTGTGCTATGTCTGGGGGCCATACTCTTGGAGTTTCTCCAGTCTCTGTCAGGCCAGTAAGTCTGGTATTTTTTTGTTAGTTACAGTTTTGTTCTACTTTTTTCTACAGCTCTGTCCAGGACCCTCTAATGTGATTCCTGTCAGAGCAGTTAGTAGTGGTAGCTGGCAACAGTCTAGTTGTACTGGACTCAGTCTGGTAGAGGCCGTGGTAGTTATGGTCCATTAGTCCTTTGGACTAATCTTTTCCTTGTATCCTGTTCTCTTCATTCTCCCTTGCTCCTGAAGGGGAGAGACCAGTGGAGTATCTTAGATGGCTGCTCACAGGCTTTTAAGACCCCAGATGCTACTCACCAAGGTAGAATGTAGAACATTGTCTTTATAAACTATGTTATGCCTATTGAGCTAGATGTTCCCTGAGACCATGGTCCCCCCAGCCCTCAGCCCAGCAATTCGGTCCCTCAGGGAGTTTGGCTGTATCTATGGAGCTTCTATGACCTTGCCTTGTACAAGCTGTGCTAGCTTCTCTAGTACTGTGTACTGGCTTACCCTTCACCAAAGTTACCACTTATCTATTGTCTGTTTAGTGTTTCCCCTACCTCCCACCCCTCCCCTCCCTCATAGCCATCAAAGATTGTTTCTTTTTGTGTGTAAACCTTTTCATGAGTTTTTACAGTAGTGGTCTCATACAATATTTGTCCTTTTGTGATTGACGTATTTCACTCAGCATAATGTCCTTCAGATTCATCCATGTTATGAGATGCTTCACAGATTCATCCTTGTTCTTCATCGTTGTGTAATACTCCATTGTGTGTATGTACCATAGTTTGTTTATCCATTCATCTGTTGATAGGCATCTAGGTTGTTTCCATCTTTTTGCTATTGTGAACAATGCTGCAGTGAACATGGGTGTGCATATGTCTATTTGTGTGATGGCTCTTATTTCTCTAGGATATATTCCTAGGAGTGGGATTGCTGGATCATATACTATTTCTATTTCTAGCTTTCTAAGGAAGTGCCATATTGTTTTGACCCAGAAGTTTTGCTTTTAGAATTTTTCCTGAGAAAATAATTGGGTACTAAGGTATATGTTCAGTGATGTTCGTTGTAGCATTATTTGTAATTGTCCCCCCCAAAAAACCCCAGAAAATAAATAACTAAAATTAAGCAAATTTTGGTTCCTCTACAACTATTACATAGTTTTAGAAGTCTGTCTACTGTTAGGGAAAATGTTACGATATATTGCTAAGTCTAAAGAGTAGGTTACAAAATAATATATACAAAATAATCCTATAAAATTTTATATGTCGATGTATATATTTATCAAAAAATGTAGAAAGGCATACAGCAAAATTTTAAAAATAATTTGTGGGTGGTGGGTTTGTGCGTGATTTTCTTTGTCTCTGTGCTTTTCAAGTTTCTTCTCTTAACATGTTATGTTTGTCAGTAGTTTTCAAACGACTATAAATGTTACTCAAAGACACACAAAAAGGAAAGAAAAAGATCAGCGCCTCGATAGAAAATACGCAGAAGACCTGGACCATTTATAGAAGTAAAAATGGACAGTAAGCATTTACTAAAATTAATAATCAGAGAAATCAAATTACAACAATTCTCAACATCATATTCACAAACATTTAAAAATCTTTAGGAGTACATGAAAGTGGTACACTCAGACAATATTTATCAGAAGTCTTTCAAACATGGCACATGCCCTTTGGCCTGACAATTCCACTTCCGAGGACTGTTCTCAGAAAGCACAGAGGGCACGCAGATGTCTGTGCTGTGTGCTCTGTGAGAGCAGAACACAAAGATGATCTAGGTTAGCAGCACAGGAAGGTGTGCTAATAAATATGATATCTCTAGACTGTGCTAGAAGACTGTCGGAAGGCATGGTAGTGAAAAAGCAGACTATAAAATTATGTTGGCGACTCTGCTTTGAAAAAAACGTGTGTGTGGCAGTTGGGGGGAGAGGGGTATAGAAAAAAGACCAGAAAGACATGTCCCTAAATGCCTTTATATGTGATTTTTATTTTATTCTTTGTGTAACTCCCAAGTGTCTTTTCCCTTATTAGTCAAGAACTGGCTGAAAACACAGTGATTGCCAAAGTAAATGGTGAATTATGGGACTTGGACCGTCCACTGGAAGGAGATTCTACTCTAGAGCTGCTGATGTTTGATAATGAGGAAGCCCAGGCTGTAAGTATTTGAAAACCAAACTGAGTATTTATGTTTTAAGCTATGTTGTATAAGAAACCACATATTGAAGTCAAGAATGATGAGTTTTGTGGCCCTCTAAGATTTAAATTTGTATATTGGTGTTTAATACATATTTAATAAATAGTTGTTAAATGAGAATGTACAAACATATTAGTTGTTGAAATAGCTCATACTTATGATTTCTTAAAATGATTGTTTTCTTAAGTTAGGATGTTTTGATTATTAAATCTATATATATTTGAATATAAAATTTTTAATGAACTCTTAAAAATAGATTTCCTTTATAATTTAATATGTGTGGGAGAACTGGAGAAAAACGATCAAGTCTCATATATCCTTTAAATACTTATTAATGTAATATTCTATAAAATAAATGTCACATTTTTATGTAGATCTGTTATATACTTTGTCATCTTAATTTTGCAGTCTCCCTTCAAGTGGCTCATTGTCTCCATAAAACCTAACCTATGATTAGTTTAGGTTACATTAATTGTGAAGCTTATGCTAAGTTTCTTGAGATACTGATCTGAACTACCGTATTATAATTACTTTTCTGTTTAAAATATACAAACTATAGCCATTAAACAGCTAAACAAAACAATATTAATAAAAGTACATTTAAAAGTGATTTTAAAAAAGTGATTGAGAAAGAGTAATTTTAAAAAGAAATAAACAGCTTATGTGTGATTTAGTGTTTTACTTCCGGGTACTAAACGACCATCACCTGACTTCATCCCAAATGTTATTATCCCTGGACTTTAAAAATAGCATTTATTTACTCACTTGGTCATCTGACAGATCTGCCGCACTGGATGCAGGTGCCAGACTTTGTGCTGCAGTGGACGAAACAGACAATATCCTAATGGGAGGAGAGAGTGAACAAGAAAACAAACACTGAGATCATTTCAGATAGTGTGAGTCTCTGAAGAAAATGAAAGAGGGGATGGAACTGAACGTGGCAGTTCACTTTAACGCTCTGTCGGCCCCAGCCCGGCCTCACCTGAGTGTCGGCATTTCGCACACTGGCCAGCTCTTGGTACATCCGCAGGAGTCATTCCTGGGACTCTGCTTGAACAGTCTGCTGCTGCTGAACTCTGTCAGTCTGTCAGCAGTTTGGATGGTGGAGGACAGGAAACCTCCAAATTTAATGTTCCGTGGAGGCATCAGCATCTTTGGAGTTCCTTCCCTCCTTGCATTCAGGGAACTCATGGAAAAGAAGACATTTATTAGAGTGGGGAATCTTTTTAGCGTGCCCAATCCACATGTCCTCTGCCACCATGATACTAACTTAGTACCTGGCACTGCATTATAGGGCTTCCATAAATATTTGTGGTTGTTGATGAAAATGATCAAAGTAACGCTTACTGAGTGCTTGTCATGAGCCAGGCACTGTTGCAACCTTGCAGGTGTATTGTATCACTGGGTCGTCATAGCCCTGTCTGTCACACAGGTACTGTTTTAATCCCATTTTAGAGGTGAGGTAGCCAAAGCTCAGAAAGGTTAAATAACGTTTCCAAGATCTCGAAGCTTCTTTTAGAAACAAAGAATTTTTGTTTTATATTTCATTTGCCTGTAACTATGAACATATAACATGATTTTGAAAATAAATCACTTTATGAATATTTAGTGCATGTCCATGAAAAAGAACCCCTGTAGAAAAGCTAATCTAGAAACTCAGATTTACAGAATGATAAACTAATGATTTTGTAAAAGGATTTTTTTTTTGCTTTACTAAAAAATTCAAGTCTCCTTTATATAGCAAGCTCTTTCCACTTTTATTTTTTAAAATGATCCTATTTATAAGAATATTTAGTGTATAATGCAACATACAAAAGAAATATTCCCTGCCCTCTAGATAAGTACATGTGAAAAAAAAACAGTGGAGGAGAAATGGTCATGTAAAATTGATAAATACACGCACCAGAAATAAGAGGCATTTAATAAAAGTATATAACTTTCAAGTTTAAAATATATCCGATTGGCGTTTCCCTTTATAAACTTAACCAAACCAAACCAAACAAAAAATCAGATCCATTGCCAGAGTTGATTCCGATGCATAGCGACCCTATAGGGCAGAGTAGAACTGCCCCGTAGGGTTTCCAAGACAATAATCTCTATGGAAGCAGACTGCCACTTCTTTCTCCCTCAGAGTGGCTGGTGGGTTCAAACTGTTGACTTTTGGTTGGCAGCCAAATGCTTAACCACTGTGTCACCAGGGCCCCTTTTTATAAACTTAATGTCCAGTAAAAGGATATGTTGAGGTATATGCTGTACTTTAAATCTTTGATAAAATTCCAGGCGAAATCAGTGGTGTGCAGCTATGATACCACGCTCAAGAAAACATAAAGAACTTATTTGGAGTTATAAATAAAAGTAAGATTGTATACACAGACAGAAGCTAATTCTGTGGCGTGTTTGTAGTCATGTTCAGTGGCCTCTCCCCGTGTTTGTATGACATGAGTTGGATATCACCTTTAGATTCAACAACTGCTCTCCCCCTCCACCTGTATATTCTCTCGGCAGTATTGATGGTTGACCACTCACTCTCTTCTCTTAATTGTTCTCCACAGTGCCAGTGCGTTCCTGGTTTTATTCCCATCTTCAGTTATTCCTTCTTAGTCTTCTTTGCTGGCTCACTCTTCTACGTCCACCTCCAGATGTTGAGAATTCCTCAGTGCTGAGTCCTAACCCCCTTCCCTCTTTAAACTCCCATTCTAAGCAGTCGTGTCCATCTGTGAACTGTCCACTCTCAACTATCTGTATCTAGACATGCCTCAGTCTTGTCTATACTACTGCCTATGTGATATCTCCACTTACATATTATACAAGAATCTTCAGTTCAGTATATCCACAGTGGAGGTCCTGTTTTTTAACCCTGGAACTTATTTCTCCCCTGTCTTTCCATCTCAATGTACGATTCCACCACATATTCAGTTGTTCAAGCCAGAATCTTGGATGTTATATGTGGTTACGCCCCATCCCTCACTCCAGTCTCCAATTCATTGGTAAGCCCAGTAGATGTTACTTTCATAATGTATTTTGAACCTGTTCACTTTTGTCCATCTCCACTACTCAAGAGTCTGTAGTAGGTCCCTAAAGGAACTGCCTGCGTGCTGTCTTGTTCCTCTGAAATCCATTCCCACACTGCTACCAAAGTGATGTTATAAAATGTATAGTGAATCTTGTCTGCTTAAAAGCCTTTAATGCTTCCCATACATTTGTTTTTTTTATTGTTGTAGTTAAATGAAGTTTACATTTCAAGTTAGACTCCCATACAAAATTTTATACATACGTTGTTATGCGACCCTAATTGCTAACCCCATTCTGCGACAGCACACTCCTCCCTTCCGCCCCTGATTCCCCATGTCCATTAAACCAGCTCCTAACCCTCTCTGCTTTCCCATCTCACCTCTGGACAGAAGAAGCTGCCCCTTTCGTCCCTTGTATCTACTTGACTAGGAGGCACACTCTTCACGAGTATCACTTTATGTCCCACGGTCCAGTCCAATCCCTGTCTGAAGAGCTGGCCTCAGAAATTGTTTTAGTTCTGGGATGATAGAAAGTCCAGGGGCCATGCTTTCCAGGGTACCTCCAGTCTCAGTCATACCATTAAGTCTGGTCTTCTTACTAGAATTTGAATTCTGTACCCCACCTTTCTCCTGCTCCATCAGGATCTCTCTGTTGTGTTCCCTGTCAGGGCGGTCATTGGTGGTAGCCGGGCACCATCTAGTTCATCTGGTCTCAGGTTGATGAAGTCTCTGGTTTATGTGGCCCTTTCTGTCTCTAGGGCTAATACTTTCCTTGTGTCTTTGGTGTTCTTTGTTCTTCTTTACTCCGGTAGTTGGGACCAATTGATGCACCTTAGATGGCCGCTTGCAAGCTTTTAAGACCCAGACACCACTCACCAAAGTAGGATGCAGAACATTTTCTTAATAAGCTTTGTTATGCCAATTGACCTAAATGTTCCCTGAAACCATGGTCCCCAGAC